AAATAATATATAAAATAATATATAAAACAAATTTGAAGTATTCGAAATACCAGCAATTAAATAAATGCTACATACTATTAAACAACAATTAAATGTGTATTTTTTTAAAGAAAATTAATAACTTGGGTTTTAAATGTAAAACAAGCGAATGTTAGGTGATTGAAAAGTGAAAAGTATTACAATCACAAATTTCAAGACACTACTTACTATAGTAAAGAAATATTACAGTATTTATAATGACATTCTATTACAGGACTAGAGCATTACAATGTTTATTTGTAATTAAGCACAAAGCTACACAATGGGCTATCTGTGCTCTGTCCACCACGGGTCTCGAAACCCGGATTCTAGCGTTGTAAGTCCGCAGACATACCGCTGTGCCACTGGGGGCGCATTACAATGTAACGAGACACAAATAAACAGAAAAAAAGTATAATTCTGAAGTCAATGTTTATGTTCTACTGAAATTTCGCAAGTCTATATGAATATCAGGATATATATAAAAAATATCAATTCTAAAGATAATATTTATGTGCTTGTGGAATTTTACAAATTTATAGGAAATTGAAATACTCAGCGAAAAAATAAAACTTCTAACAACTGTCGTTGTGTAACCCTGGAAGTTTCTGTGGATTACTGGAAGGTTTTCAAGAAATTTACGAATTAGTCTTATGTGGCATTAGATGTTTTAAAAAAGCCTTAAAGTTGTGATTAATTATGAAAAAGTTTAGCACATGTATGTTTTCCAAATTTTGCTCTAAATAACTGTATATATATTTTGAAATAATTCTAGTATTTACCTGTTGGGATCATCTTTATGCAGTCCAAGCTGTCTCAAGAAGCTATCGGAAACGCAAGGAAATGCAGGGCTACAGCTATCCGTTAGTGGAATTATCATGTTTGGAGCATGTTGACATAGGTTTTCAGACCCCATACTACCACTTGTACTTCCTTTAGTTGGCGTTATCTCCGACGTTTCCATTAGATCAGGCATCATTTTCTTGGTTTTTACCACCCTGTCTCGTATTTTCCATTTATTCTAAGAATAAATTGAACGCCACCTGTCAATACAGTTTAAGTTATTTTGCTCTATTTATATCCTTAGTGAGTGGACTATTTAATGAAGTGGAAAACCTCAGAAATCTAGAGAGGGACATTATTGTTGTGATTAAGACGTGCTGCCCAAAGTCTTGAATAAACATTGTCACAATAAAGAACATTAACAAAAGATGCACTGAAAAAGCTGAAAGGAATTTTAGCTTCTACAGTTGAATAGTAGTGTGAAAACGCTAAAGCATAACATGAACACTAAACCAGATATCATGACACAAACTCAGTTTTTGATTTTATAAAAAAAAAAAAGCCAAGAGGTATAAAGATACAAGAATATCTCCGTGCCTGGATATTTTACTCTGCAAAAGACTGCTACAGTATTCTGGACAAATATGTAATATAAGTGGAATTTAGAGTTTAGTTATATAAAAACATCTCTCTATTAAAGGGTGTTACATTCTCCAACAAATGGTTATCGTGTTATGGGCAAGCACGTGATGTACGTGGAATATAGTGTCTAGTTAGATAAAAACATCTCTCTATTACATGGATGTTACATTCTCCAACAAATGGTTATCGTGTTATGGGCAAGCACGTGATGTACGTGGAATAAAGTGTCTAGTTAGATAAAACATCTCTCTATTAAAGGATGTTACATTCTCCAACAAATGGTTATCGTGTTGTGGGCAAGCACGTGATGTACGTGGAATAAAGCGTCTAGTTAGATAAAAACATCTCTCTGTTAAAGGATGTTACATTCTCCAACAAATGGTTATCGTGTTATGGGCAAGCACGTGATGTACGTGGAATATAGCGTCTAGTTAGATAAAAACATCTCTCTATTACATGGATGTTCCAGTCTCCAACAAATAAAAGTAAATGTAATTATCAGTAAGGTAAAATCTCAGTAAATACTATAATATAAAAGTAAATCTAATGTTCAGTAAGGTAAACATTTCGGTAAATATTATAATATAAAAGTAAATCTAATTATCAGTAAGGTAAAATCTCGGTAAATACTATAAAAGTAAATATAATTATCAGTAAGGTAAAATCTCAGTAAATATTATAATATAAAAGTAAATCTAATTATCAGTAAGGTAAAAATTTCGGTAAATATTATAATATAGATGAGAATATAGTATTTGGTAACGTAAAAGTTTAAACAGTGATAATATAAAGGAATCTAATTTTTAATTAAAAGCAATTTAGGAAAATCTGTAATGAATATTGTATAAAAAAAATGCCACCAAATTATAATGTTTAATATTAGTCAACTTCTCTTTGATGCTTCGTTACAAAATTAACTTGTAATTGGTAATTCAATCCACATTTAGTTTTGTACAACTACCGAGGTATAATATTTCCTTTGTAAGAAGCGCCCGTGTGTATTTACTTGTGATTAAGTATAGCAGGTGAACGAGGAAAACGTTATATATTTGAGTACTTGGAATAATGGGGTTTCTCAACCTAACACAACACTTCAATTGACTTGGTGAAGTATGAACTTTTATGTTATCAATTTTCACGGTTAATAAATAAAGCTCCATTGTTGTCAGAAGTATTAACACAGGAAACAAGAGTCGTTCTCAACAAACGAGAAGAATGTATCTTTAGGAAAATGCCCGATTATATACAAGTAATACAACCTCACGTTCTTCCGTGCTCTTTTTTTTAGGGGAATCAATTTCACAATCAAATGACCCGTTTTACGATTATCTGCAACCTTAAAACAGACTTTCTTCTACGTATCGCTAATAATTTTATATACTGAATACGATAGAACGGTTTTTGTGCGCGTGGTTCAAGTCTTACCATGTTGTTTTTCATGTGGTTCTAAGTCTTGCTGTGTTGTTGCACACGGGTTACAACTTATACCGTGTTGTTGTACGAGTGGTTCTAAGCTTTACTATGTTGTTTTTCATGTGGTTCTAAGTCTTGCTGTGTTGTTGCACACGGGTTACAACTTATACCGTGTTGTTGTACGAGTGGTTCTAAGCTTTACTATGTTGTTGAATGACGTATTTTGTTTCAGACCGAGATAACACAAAAATCAGCTTGAAATAAATCGTTTCCATGTTACAATAATATCAGCTCAACCGACCTTGTTTAAACCTTAACGGTCTTTCACAAGAAGTAGAATGTCTTTCAATCTACACAACAAACAGTAGACATTTGGAAATGTTGATTTGTTTCCTAACATTCAAGCAATACATGATCGAAGGCATTCTAAGTCTTACCATGTCGTTGCATGTGCGGTTCTAAGTCAGAATGTAAACGTACAAAAGCGTTTTTTCAATCAAAATTTTCAACTTACAAATGATGGTGAACAGAATCCAAAGGACTGCCTCAGAATTTGAAGTATCACGAAAAATTAACTATGGAAAGGCATCCGTTACCACTTTAGAAACAGCTGCTTTTTTCCCTTGTGCCAGATTTTCTGCAATGATTGAAACTAAACAGGAATCATGTCAGCTGTCATTTTTTATTCTACAGCTCTTCGTATCTTGAACATGTACACACACCCATAGCAAAATATACAAGCAGCGAGCCTTGCGGAGGCGGTTTGTAGCTTGTATTTATGCAAAGGAATCTTTGTATACACAACCAGCAAGCTTTGACAGCATCGTCGTGATTCTTTTATGAATCCCGTGAACAATATATGTTCATGTCATGGTATACAAATATGTGCGTGTTTCATATATAAAAGTTCGTTCCGCTAAATAATACAATATTTATAACACAACGAAGAACTTACCGACCATCTTTGAGGCTAACACTTTCTCCCGTTTTTCTATTTCTTCTTGTTGACAGCTCAGTAATACTGTATTTATAATTAAACGAAGAACTTACCGACGTCTTTGAGGCTAAAACTTTCTCCCGTTTTTCTATTTCTTCTTGTTGACAGCTCAGTAATACTGTATTTATAATTAAACGAAGAACTTACCGACGTCTTTGAGGCTAACACTTTCTCCCGTTTTTCTAGTTCTTGATGGTGACCTCCTGAACCCACTGTAGGTGAGAAATGAATTATTCGATAGTTTAAATTTTAGCAATAATTTAATACATGCGAACTTTATACAAACGTATATTTTCGAATAGTTTTAGTACTCGGTAAGTTTCTTGATTTCTATAAAAGTTTGCCTTTGAGATACGTATGATAAAAAGTTTCGATTATATTGAATAAAAGTACAGAGAAAAAATGCATGCGTTGAAGAATATGAAACTTCAAGTTTTTCGTACAATACATCGATGGTAATACTAACTACTTGTAATGCTCGAAGAATCACACCTATTTCATTCCTTTTACGTACTAGTGGCATGTTTATTTGCTGTTGCTTTTCATGGTCGTCCTCTTTATCGTCAGAAATTCTCTTTAGTCGCCCAACAGATGAACACCTGTCGATTTTAGAAGATATCTGAAAAACAAAAGTCAATAATTGTCACAATATTGACTTTCATTGACTAAAACACACAGTGCGAAACCTACTACTTTTACTTATAAAGATAACCAGATACTGATGATAAAAATATTAAATTATGTTCCCACCTCATATTTTTATTTACATTAAATTTTTTTTTTACTTGGTATATACCGTTAGTTATCATTTATCTACTGCACATAATTTGTTTTGGGTTAATATTTTTATTTAAACTAGTGCCAAGATTGATTTGAAACACCAGTATGTAAACCGGTGCAGATAATGATTACAGACACCACAGAGTAGACCAGCTGGTGCAGAGATACAAGACACCACACTAACTGATGTGGAGATATAAGACACCACACTAACTGATGTGGAGATATAAGACACTACACACAACACCAACTGATGTAGAGATATATAAGACACTACACACAACACCAACTGATGTGGAGATATATAAGACACTACACACAACACCAACTGATGTGGAGATATATAAGACACTACACACAACACCAACTGATGTGGAGATATATAAGACACTACACACAACACCAAATGGTGCAGAGATACAAGACACTACACACAACACCAAATGGTGCAGAGATACAAGACACTATACAGTACGCCAACTGATGTAAAGTGACTAAAACAACCACATAGACCATCACCTGGTTCATAAAATGATTCAAAGCACCATAAAATAACAACTAGTAGCGTGACGTATTAAAATACCATAGATACAAACTAGTAGAAAATGTAGTGACTTATTCGAAATTATATAAGCAACAAACTAAAAAAAACAAGATAAAAAACACTAAGTTAAAAGAGTGCGTTTACAAATTAAACAGAATTATCAATATTACTAATGTTAATACAAAATTAAACCTGAAATGATAACGAATATAAAATCAAAAGTTTAAAAACCAACCTTTGTTGTAAATACATCTTGGTTAATCTCGGACATTCTCTTCACAGTATATTTTTTGACTTGCTGGTTAGCCGTGTAGAATCAACTGTTCTGTATGAGTAGATTGCTATTTATACATATATATAGTTAAACTCCTGTTCATTGCTTACCCTCGCTGAACATCCATAACCAACCGACCTGGTTTAACTTTAAGTGGTTAGGCTGAGCCTGAAGAACCCTAACTCGTTGGAAACTACGAATTTCTCAAGGGAGGGTCATTTTACTTTGTGTCACAGTAGTTAAGTTGCATTGAATCAACACATTGTGGAAAGAAACTCTGAAATTAAAATCCAAAACAGAAAGTAAACACCACAACTGGCAGAAGTGAAGGGTAGCAGCGAATAACGTATTTACAGCCACGCCAGCGTAGTAGCGATAAGACTTGCCTAATAACATAACCAGGTCACTGAGAGGTAGGTTCACACGTGAGACCAACCTGAGGCGCTTTCTCCACGTACTTAAACCTAAGCAAAAAATAATAATTATGTCAGCAACATGATAGTTGGTTCCGGAGATATCAGTGAAGTAGGAAAAAATCATGAAAGTTTTAATATAAATTAGTTGAAATTAATTTGGCCTTGTTGTGTAGTAAGTTTGGATTTTATAAGTAATTAACAAACTGGTAAAGTGTGTGTTGGGCATAAACATAAAATAGTAACATTTACAGACAACCAGTGGCACAGCGGTATGTCTGCTGATTTACAACGGTAGAAACTGTGTTTCGATACCCATGACGGTCGGAGCACAGATAACCTATTGTGCTTAATTACAAACAAACAAAAATATAATTATGAGGTTTATTTAGCTCTTTATTTATTAAGTTTACTATATTTTGAGATATGATAAAAAAACACTGACGATTCCGACACTTTCTAAACATTTCATGACATATAACGTTTCTAATCAAAACATATAGACAGTTTGATCTAGAGATAGAAAACAAAGTTAAAAAAAAGAGATACAGACGATTCAGCAGTGAACGTAGTCTCCTTCAGTTCCATACCAACAGTGTTTGTTTGAAATTAAGCACAAAGCTACAGAAGGGGCTATCTGTGCTCTGTCCACCACGGGTATCGAAATCCGTTTTCTAGCGTCGGTAGTCCGCAGACATATCGCTTTGCCACTGGGGGGCGCCATACCAACAGGTGATTTGTACTGTATTCTGTGTAATATTGCTACAAAAATTCAGTAAACAGAATATCCGATTATAGACATTTTATATCCTATACAACCCGAAAGTTCCATCTCGTTTACGAGAAACTAAACAATATTCCCCGATGTTACTTTTACTTTCTGGATCCCTTTTATGTGTGTTTTCGTCGACCTTTTAATAAAACACTACAGAATCATTGACATGAAGCAAATGTTGCTGTTTGCAAATTTTTATTTAAAGATCACTAAATAAACTGTGGGTGATAACACAAGTTAAACATTCATTGGATATGTATGGAGCTATTTTGGTTCTTATATAAATATGTTTATATAATACGAGTCTGTTATGAGGACTATTATACAAGATGTCTATATGTTCGTCACAATCTCGTACTTCAACTGACTTCTCACACAGAAGTATTTTATATAAATAAACCACAACTCTTTTGGTTGAATCTTTTCTGGAGACGCTTCTGATATCGACCTAAACTCTGGAAACATGCTGATAATACATCATAAATTCCTATGAATGTGAAAGAATTGTGTAGTTTCAGATGCTACAACATTCTTCTTCAAAAAACTTCCTTAAATACATGATAATACATCTCTCTGATTATTTCTATGTCTTGTAGAGCTATAATGAACAGATTTGACATTTTGGCTTAATGCCATAAAACCAACTATGTTTATTTTCTTGCCAAACTCTCTAATTATGCAGAAAATACATGTTTAACTATAAGTGTCGACCATGCCGAAAGTTTCGCTTAATTCACTGATCATACTAAATCACTTTGAAGTCAGTAGTCTTATTTTCAGATTTATATTAAAATGTAGAACAATTATAAATATACTCGACTGACAATTTTCTTATAAGACTTGTGTAAGTGTGATTCAGTGTTTCTTCATATAGTAACGTACATTTATTAAACTATCTTATTAAACTAGAGTGTATCTACCAGTCATGAATGACATTTATTGTCAGGGCTATAACACCCTGAAAATTCGAAGCATGCTCTACAACATGTTGCTTCTCAAATTGTAAATCTTCTGACCCGCAACCCAACATGCTGACCAGTAGGTCACGCTCAGCCCTTCTAAAATTCGATACCAAATTATTTAAGTAGTTTTTTATTTAGAAAGGTTTAACAACGTTGCAAGTGTTTCTAAAGTACCTTATAGCATTTAATTCCATAACTAGGTGTAAGAATTCTACAGAGTGCCCCAAAAGTAGGTATACAGCTGCATACAGACTTTTTCTTCTGGGGAGTACTGAAGATCAAAGTGTACGGTAGGAAATCGCGGAATGTTGACGAAATGAAAGGGTACATCACAGACGCATTTACAGAACTTGATGGACAGACAGACTTGTGTCAGAAAGTATGCAGAAATGTGGCAGGCAGACTCTATTATTGTGTGAACAGGCAGACTTCAGGGTTGTATGAACAGACAGACTCCATTATTGTGTGAACAGACACACTCCATTATTGTGTGAACAGACACACTCCAGAATTGTGTGAATAGACAGACTCCAGGATTGTATGAACAGGCAGACTTCAAGGTTGTGTAAATAGACAGACTCCAGGATTGTATGAACAGGCAGACTTCAGGGTTGTGTGAATAGACAGACTCCAGGATTGTGTGAACAGCGACAGACTTCAGGGTTGTGTGAATAGACAGACTCCAGGATTGTATGAACAGGCAGACTTCAGGGTTGTGTGAATAGACAGACTCCAGGATTGTGTGAACAGCTTAAATTTGAACACTTGCGGGATTCACTTTCCCATAATTTTAGATGGAAACAAGATCGAACAAGATTACTGCAATAATTCTGAGCTAGTTAAGAAAAAATGTAAATTTTAAAGAACGATAAGGCTCCAGGGCCAGATAATATTTCCCCAAGGGTTTTGAAGGAGGTTAAAGATTAGATATGTCAGCCACTTGCTACTATTTTTTGCCAGTTCTTGAATAGTTGGCAGGCACCAGAGGATTGGGAGTTAGCTAATGTAACTCTTTTTTTTTCAAGGGAGGTGATATAAAGTGTCCCAGTAAATATAGACCCATTAGTCTTACATCAGTTGTGGGAAAAGGTTTGGAAATTCTGATAAAAGATACTTTGCAAAGTCATTTAACAAGGTTTAGAATTTTATTAGATAGTCAACATGATTTCAGTAAGAGAAAATCTTACCTTACAAATATTTTGACATTCTTTGAAAAGGTTACTGCTTGTGTAGATGATGGT